AGATTCTTAGAGGTGAATGAGAACACACATAACAATGCATCGAAATCTCTGGGACACTATGAAAGTATTTAGTACTAAGAGGAAAGTTCATTGCATGGAGTTCATTCCTTAAAAGAAGAAAAAGTCAACAAATAAATGACCTAACATTACACCTCAGAGTGCTAGAAAAAGAACAAATCAACACCAAAAACAGTAGAAGACAGAAAATACTTAAAATCAGAGCTAAAATCAATGAAATTGAAACAAAAGAAACAACTGAAAAAATTGACAAAAAAAGTTGGTTCTTTGAAAAAATAAATAAAATTGACACTCCCTTAGTCATGCTAACGAAGAGGAGAGAGAAAACTCAAATTACTAATATACGTAATGAAAAAGGAAATATCACAACAGACACTACAAAAATACAGAAGATACTTAGAAATTATTTTGAAAACTTGTACTCCAATAAAATAGAAAATATCGAAGGTACTGACAAATTTCTAGTCTCATGATTTGCCCAAATTGAATCAGGATAATATACACACACAATTTAAACAGTGATGAAATAAAAGACACCATCAGAATCCTACTAACCAAGAAAAGCCCAGGACCAGATGGATACACAGCCAAGTTCTATGACACCTTTAAAGAAGAATACCAATATTCTTCAATTTATTTCAGGAAGGAGCACTTCCAAACTCATTTTATGAGGCCAATGTCATGCTGATTCCAAAACCAGGCAAAGACACATTAAAGAAAAAAAAAAACTTCAAACCAATATGTCTAAAGAACATAGATGCAAAAATTCTCAATGAAATTTTGGCGAATCAAATACAAAAACACATCAAAAACATAGTGCAACACAATCAAGTGGAGTTCATCCCAGGGATGCAAGGTTGGTTCAACATATGGAAATCAATCAATGTAATTCATCACATCAATAGACTTAAAGATAAAATTCATAAGATCATCTCAATAGATGCAGAAAAAGCATTCAACAAAATACAGCTCCCCTTCATGTTCAAAACACTAAAAAAACTAGGGATAACTGGAACATGTCTCAACATTATAAAAGCTATCTATGCTAAGCCCCAGGCCAACATCATTCTAAATGGAGAAAAATTGAAAGCATTCCCTCTAAACACTGAAACAAGACAGGGATGCCCTCTTTCACCACTTCTTTTTTTTAATGTTTATTTTTTAATTATATGTGGACAAAATGTCTTTATTTTTGTTTTTTATGTGGTGCTAAAGATTGAACCCAGAGTCTCACACATGGTAGGCGAGCTCTCTATCTCTGAGCCACAACCCCAGCCCCTCTTTTACCACTTTTATTTAACATAGTTCTTGAAACACTGGCCAGAGCAATTAGACAGATGAAAGAAATTAAAGGGATACACATAGGAAAAAGAAGAACTCAAATTAGCACTATTTGCTGACAATATGATTCTATACCTAGAAGACCTAAAAAAATTTCACCAGAAAAGTTCTACAACTAGTAAATGAATTCAGGGAAGTAGCAGGATACAAAAGCAATACCCATAAATCAAAGGCATTTCTGTATATCAGTGACAAATTCTCTGAAAGAAAAACTAGGAAAACTACCCCATTTATAATAGACTCAATAAAATAAAATACTTGGAAATCAACCTAACAAAAGAGGTGAAAATGAAAACTACCAAATGCTAAAGAAAAAAACTGAAGAAAACCTCAGAAGATGGAAAGATCTTTCTTGAGTTCCTGGATATGCAGAATTAATATTGTCAAAATGACCACACTACCAAAAGCACTATACAGATTTAATGCAATTCCAATCAAAATTCCAATGACACTCCTCATAGAAATAGAAAAGCAGTCACGAAATTCATCTGGAAAAATAAAAGACCCAGAATAACTAAAGCAATCCTTAGCAAGAATAGTGAAGCAGGTGGCATCATTATACCAGACCTTAAACTGTACTACAGAGCAATAGTAACAAAAACAGCATGGTTTTGGCACCAAACTAGACTGGTAGACCAAAGACACAGAATTGAGGACACTGAGACTAACCCACAAAATTATAATTATCTTATATTAGACAAAGGCACCAAAAACATAATTGGAGAAAAGATAGCCTCTTCAATAAATGGTGCTGGGAAAACTAGAAATACATAGGCAACAAAATGAAATTAAACCTCTATCTCTCACCATGCACAAAACTCAACTCAAAGTGGATCAAGGACCTAGGAATTAGATTGGAGATCCTGCGCCTAATAGAAGACAAAGGAGGCCCAAATCTTCAACATGTCAGATTAGGCCCCGACTTCCTTAACAAGACTCCTATAGCATCAGAAATAAAAATCAAGAATCAACAAGTGGGATGGATTCAAACTGAAAAGCTTCTTCTCAGCAAAAGAAATAATCAGGGAGGTGAAGAGAGAGCCTACAGCTTGGGAGCAAATTTTTACCATATGCACATCAGATACAGCACTAATCTCTGGGATATTATAGAGAACACAAAAAACTTAATACCAAAAAAAAAAAAACCAAATAACCCAATCAATAAATGGGCCAAGGAAGTGAACATACACTTCTCAGAAGGTGATATAAAAATCAATCAACAAATATATGAAAAAAGGTTCAACATCTCTAGCTATTAGAGAAATGCAAATCAAAACTACTCTCTAAGATTTCATCTCACTCCAATCAGAATGGCAGCTATTAAGAATACAAACAACAATAAGTGTTGGTGAGGATGTGGGGAAAAAGGCACACTCATACATTGCTGGTGGGACTGCAAATTGGTGCAGCTAATATGGAAAGCAGTATGGAGATTCCTTGGAAAACTTGGAATGAAACCACCTTTTGACTCAGCTGTCCCACTCCTCAGTGTATACTCAAAGGATTTAAAAACAGCATACTAAAGGGACACAGCCACGTCAGTGTTTATTACAGCACAATTCATAATAGCTAAACTGTGGAACCAATCTAGATGCCCATCAGTAAATGAATGAGTAAAGAAATTGTGATATATATACACAATGGAATATTAATCAGCAATAAAAGATAATAAAATCATGACATTTGCAGGTAAATGGATGGAGTTGGAGAATATAATGCTAAGTTAGCCAATCCCAAAAGCCAAATGTCGAATATTTTCTATGATATAAGGAGGCTGATTCATAGTGGGGTTGGGAGGGGGAGAAAGGGAGGATTAGACGAACTCTAGATAGGGTAAAGGGGTGGGAAGGGAAGGGAGGGGGCATGGGGGTACGAAAGATAGTGAAATGAGATGGACATCATTACCCTAAATACATGTATGAAGACACAAATGGTGTGAATATACTTTGTATACAACCAGAGATATGAAAAATTGTGCTCTATATGTGTAATAGGAACTGTAATGCATTCTGCTGTCATATATAACAAATTACAATAAAAAATTAAATTTAAAAAATTGTCATTCTTTTAATTAATTATATACAGAAGCAAATAAGTACAAAGGGTTGTTCTCATCCAAGAGTGCACATCAGAATCAGAGTTTTCAAGATTGCCAGGTACCACCTCAGACTTGCTCTCTCAGAATCTGAGAAGTTCAAGCACGTGTACTTTTATAAAGCTCTCCAAGTGATTATGATCACATTCTCAAGCTAAGAACTGCTTATATAAACAAATCATTGCTTTAAAAATGGTGTGAACAGTAAGGCATGGTGGTGCATGCCTATAATCCCAGTGATTTGGAAGGTTAAGACAGGAGGATCACAAATTCCAGGTCAGCCTCAGCAACTTAGCAAAGCAGCACTGGGCAACATAGCAAGACCCTCTCTCTAAATAAAAAGAATTAAAAGGGTTGGGGATATGGGCTCAGTGGTAAGTACCCCCTGGGTTTAATCACCACTACCAAAAAATTTAAAAAAAAAAAAAGTGTGAAAAAAAAAGACCACAAAAAGAGGGAAAAATAACTAAGCAATACTTTAAGCTAGAACATACATACTTTGGTCCACCTGGCAAGCAAATCATGATTTAAAAACTAAAACTGTTACAATCTAATGAACTACTACAATTAGCAATGAAAATTAACTTGGATATGCAAGTGATAAAAAAAATTGTGAAATGTATACTGGCTTTCTTATAGATACCTGAATATCCATTTGTTGCTGTTGTAATTTTTCAAGATGCTTAATTTGCTGCTCCATAAATACATTCATTCGCTTCTCATGATTGTGACAATGTAATTTCTCTTCTTTATTCTGAATGCTTGCTTGCTGTTCTGTAACACGTTGTAAGTGTTTATCCGTCTCCTGTAACTTATTAAGTAATTCTGTAACAGAATTAACTTTTGCTTCCAAATCACTCTGCACCTAAAAGGATAAAAATTACAAAATAATTTTGTATATTATAATACAGAAAAACAATAAAATATGTTCAATTACAAAGAAGGTTATTTATAGCAAGTGATTTGACAAATTATCAAAGTAGAACCTTTACTCACTGTATCTCTGATGATTTGATGCCTTTATTTTTAGTCATAAAAGTAAAAGGCAGGAAAAAAATTAAAAAATAAAGGGTAGGAGATCATAATCCTTAGATCTGTTTCCTCTCATTAAAAAAATTTTTTTTTAAATATTTATTTATTATTTTTTTAGTTTTCAGCGGACACAACATCTTTGTTTGTATGTGGTGCTGAAGATTGAACCCAGGCCGCATGCATGCCAGGCGAGCGCGCTACCGCTTGAGCTATATCTCCAGCCCCTCATTAAAAAAAATTTTTTTGCCTCATAGAAGTTTATAATGCAGAAATAAGAAATACTTAAGTGGAAATTAAAGAGACAGAAATAGCAAGAAAACAACTTTTTATACTTCACTAATGTAAAACTGAGTTACGTTAGCAGTCTTGAGTTCTCATCTTGGCTCTCCCACCTATTAGCTCTAAAATCTTTTTCCTCCTGTGCCGTGGTTCTCCTTTCCCATTACAAACTAACAGGTTAGGTCTACGTAATCTAATCTGTCTTCTAGTTCTCAAATAAGGATGACCAATCATCCAAGTTACCCAGAACTAAGAGGCTTCCTAGGATTTGTGACTTTCAGTGCTACAAAGTCCTGGATTCACTAGGACCATCAAAGCAATGAAAGGGTAATTTTCATAACTTCTGAGAAATAATACACAACCACACATGGTAAATTTTTTTCAACTTGAGATCAACCAGAATGTTCTTAGTCTATAGCTGGACACAACTACTTAGAGCATCTTAACAGTTATTTTTATAAAATTTCACAAAGTATATTCAGAATATCTGGAGAGAAAAATATACCTTTATCAGTGGAGCTGCTGTTGCAATGGCAGCAGCAGTTGCTGCAGCTACAGTTGTAGCAGAATCAATGGCACTGGGTGAAGTTCTGGCCTCCTGTGTAACAGTATTCTCTTCTCTGCCAGCATCTTCCAAAAGATGTACCTTTACTTCCTTAAAGATAGGCATGCTTCGCGCTCTATCAATAAAAAAGGAATAAAATATATTCAATAAGCTATGCTGAACCACTTCAAGAAATACCTGTAAGTGGTCATCTGCTGAAGGTAATTTTCTTGATTTTTAAAAATTAAATCACCTGCCAAGTATGGTGGCACACTCCTGTAATCCCAGTGACTTGGGAGGCTGAAACAGGAGGATTACAAATTCAAGACTGGTCTCAGCCATTTAGCAAGACCCTCAGCAACTTAGCAAGACCTGTCTCAAAATGAAAAGTAAAAAGGGCTGTGGATGTAGCTCAGTAATAAAGTAGCCCTGGGTCCAATCCTTGGTGTCAAAAAAGAAAAAAAAAATTAAATTGCATATCAAACAAAGTCATTTTGTTAATGAAGTTTATCAAGATTTGAGTCACTAATGACTAAAGATATAAGATAATTCCCTGAAGGCAGTGATGTTATTTCAGAAAATAAGACTTATATATATATGTGTGGAAAAGGCATGGTCACAGTTATAAGGATATGTAATCAAGAAATACAAACCAAGCATAGTGATGCATGCCTGTAATACCAGCCACTTGAGAGACTGAGGCAGAAGGATTACAAATTTGAGGCCCACCCTAGCAAATTAGTGAGACCCTCAGGAACTTAGATGATAGTTCTCAAAACAAAAGATAAGATATTTTGATTATTTTGATAATCAAAATAAAAAAAGAACTGCGAATGGTAAAGTGCCACTGGGGGCAGGGAGGAGGAGGAGAAAGGAGGAGGAGGAGGAGGAGGAGGAGAAGGAAGGTAAATTTAAGACATGAAGAAAAACATTCTAAGAATTTAAATACCAAGTTTTATTCCCCCAAAACAAACAACCCAAGAGAGATTACTGCTGTTTTTAAAGTACTGATAATTTTATTCTCTAAATACTTTTAGAAGAATTGTAACATTAGAGGATGAGAGTATAGCTTAGTAGTAGAGTATGTAGTTAGTATGTGTGAGGTACCCTGGATTCAATTTCCAGCACAAAAGAAAAGAAAAAAGAACTATATCATTATTGATGTATACTTTACCCCCTTTTAATCCAGCTTTAGTGAAGCATAACTGACAAATAAAAATTATATATATTTACTATATACAACATATTTTGATATATTTATACATTGTGAAAGGTTACCACAATCAAGCTACTCAACATATCCATTACCTCACATAATTATCTGTGTGTGTATGTGCAGGTGGTGGGGAGGCAGGGAATAAGAACATAAAAGGTGCCCTCCTAGCAATAAATATTACTACCTACCATCACCACATGGCATAAAATAGAGCTCTAGGATTTATTCATCCTAACTGAAATTGTACCATTTGGTTAACACCTCCCCATTCTCCCTACTCTCAACCCCTGGCAACCACCAATCTATTCTCTACCTTTTGTAAATTCAACTTTTTCCATTTCCACATATGAGATTATGTGGTAATTCTCTTTCTGTGCCTGGCTTATTTCATTTAGCACAAATCCCCAAAAACAATTATTAAAACTGCTGAAACAAACTTTCTGAATTTTAACTCATTTAGATTAAATTAAATATCATCCAATGGGCATCAAAGACATCACTAAATAGCTTGGATTAAAAATGGACCTAAACCAGATGCCATGGTATACATCTATCATCCCAGCAATTTTGGAGGCTGAGAATTGCCGAGTTTAAAGCCAGCCTGGGCAACTTTGTGAGATCTTGTCCCCAAAAGTAAGTAAACAGATAGATGGATAGATAGATAGATAGACAGATAAATGGAGGGATAAATAAATAATAGGAGAGGGCAGTATATAGACACATATTAACTAAATATTAAAAAAAAGAATCTGTCCAGTTATGCTCTATATTTGGGCTCTAAGAAAAAATGAAAGGAACATGGACAAAATCAAATAATCCCTAGATAAGTATAAATAAAATCAACAGGAATACATTCCATATGCAGAGGCTTTATTCCCTTGCTTGATTTTTAAAGACAGTTCAGAACTTTTGAACTTACCCCTCTGATATTTCCCCATTTCTACTAAGAGCATCATTCTTCTCTAAGTCTCAAAATTTTGAAGTCACCTTTACTTCTGTATCTTCCTATCATCTCATACTCAATAGAGTCATCAAGTTTCGCCAATTATTTCATCACAATTACATGAAAAGTGTCATAGAACTATAGAGTTGGGGGAATCTCATAGGTGGTTCATCTATCCTAATTTTCTAATTTTTACATGAAGAAACTGAGGTCCACAGAGGTAATGGGGTGTACTTGATGGAAATCACAGATTTAGTGACAAGGCCCAATTCCAGAGGTCTTCCCATGACTCTAAAACTTTCTTGGATTAGTACTTCTCCCTTCTTTCTTCTTCTCTACTAGAAAATTCATCACTTCTTACCAACCACATATTTCATTCTTTGGTTTATTTGCTTAAAAACTTCCCACTCATGTCTCCATTCTTCAAAAATCTCAGAAATTTCCTTATAAAAAACTGAATAAGCAAATTCCTGTTTGGCTTTCTATACCCTCCATACTCTGGTCCTATCCTCCATTCCTATATATACCTCCCTCCGATATATACCCAAAATAACCTCTCTCTGGAATCATACTGCTCTCCTTACTGACTACACATATAGCACTATGCTCACAACTGACTCGATGCTTTTTTCTCTGCTCTCTCAAACTTCTTCCACTCAACTCATTATGATATCCTTCCTCTTCAGGATGCAATCTAAATCTTACCTCTCTCAATAAGCCTATCTTTATAACAGTTTCTATTGATCTCTCCCTTCATTAAGTACTTTTGTATTTATCGCCTATACCACTTAGGACTGAAACATAGGCATTCCATTGTTTAGATGTCTGTACAGAACAATTTAACAATATATTGAATGCAAAGCTCTATTCCTATCATGATTCTGAAAGGAACCATCACTTCTCTCCCTCTCCCGCGTGCACGTGAGCTCACTCTTGCTCGCTCTTGCTTGCTCTGTCGAGATATAATATATATATGTGTGTGTGTATATATACACACACGTGTATATATGTGTGTATACATGTATATATACGTGTAAATATAATCTCTCTCAAGATTATTATATATACGTATATAAATATGTATATATGTATTATAATCTTGATATATGTTCTATAATATATAAAATCTTGATATGTTATATATGTTTTTTTATATATATAAATATTTATACATATATTTATATATATATATTTTTTTATATATATATATATATATATATGCTCGCCTAGCATGCATGAGGCAGTGGGTTCAATCCTCAGCACCACATAAAAATAAAATATTGTGTCCACATAAAACTAAAAAAACAAACATTTTTTAAAAGTGTACCTTACTTTTACAACTTTTAAATAATTTGCCATCCCTCTTAAAGTCCAAACTCCTTTAGAAAAAGTCATATTTCTGTTTTTTTTTTAGAGAGAGAGAAAGAGAGAATTTTTTATTCTTTTTTTTTTTTTTTTTAGTTTTCGGCAGACACAACATCTTTGTTTGTACGTGGTGCTGAGGACCGAACCCGGGCCACACACATGCCAGGTGAGCGTGCTGCCGCTTGAGCCACATCCCCAGCCCGAAGAATTCATATTTTCCTTGTACTAGACAACTTGGCCAGATTCTTCATTTCTCAAAGATTCTGGTCTATTACCTTGCATTATTTGCAGTTTTAAAGCACATGATAATATCAAATAGGACAAGTACTACATCATTCCATTTTGTCACAACTCTACAGTTAAGTTACATAAATATAGGGGTTGGAGATATAGCTCAGTCAAAGATCCCTTACCCAGCATGTATGAGGCCATGGGTCTGATCCCCAGCACCAAAAACAAAGAATATGAACATATAGAATATGTACAGTTGAGAATAGCTAAGATACTTTTAGAAAATTAATTTTTAAATAATTTTGGAAAATTAACGTTGGAAAAATAAACAGAATGTTCAGGCACACATATAAACACATATACTTTTTCTCAGCTGTATGTTCTTCCATGTAAACATTAAAATTACTTGGCTAAATTCCATCTACCAATTATTCTAAAGCAAAATTCAATGACTACAGCAAAACCTATAAGCTAATTTTAGACAAACTTGGACTTTTATAGTATTAAGTCTTCCCATCCAGAACATGTTGAGTATCTCAATATATCCTAGCCTTTGTCAGTTCCCAAGGAAAGTTTCATACTTCCTTACATAGTTTCTACAGATTTCTAATCATGAATATTTATAACTTTTTTTGTTCTAAGTACAGAATATCTTCTAAAATGTAAATTTTTCCTCCTTTTTTCCAATATCCATACCTGATCTCATTTTATTTTCTAATTGCCACAGATAGGACTTCCAAATTATAAACAAACAATAACAAAAAGAAACAATGAAGGCTAGGGATGTGGCTCAGTGAGAGAGTGCTTGCCTAACATGCATGAAGCCCTGGGTTCCATCCCCAGTACCACCAAACCAAAAAGACAATGAGCTCTCAATTCTACTTTTAAACAGGATATTAACTATTTTCTTCATATTAAGAATCTGAATCTATCACTCTATTGTTAGTTTTAAAGAGGTTTGTGTGCATGGTAAGGTAAGTAAGAAATGAGCATGACATTTTATTAAATGTGATCCATAGTACTTGTCATACATATTTTCTTATTTATTCCAATGATAAATATATAATGAATCATGAATTATTAGTGAGGCAATGCTTAAAACTGCCTGAGCCTCTTTTTTGTTTTGTTTTTAGTTGTTGATGGACTTTTATTTTACTTACTTATTTATTTTTATGTAATGCTAAGAATCTAACCCTCACACATTCTAGGCAAGAGCTCTCTCACTGAGCTACAACCCCAGCCTGAACCTCATTTTTAATATGGGAACATTTTAAAACATTCCAGGCTTTTGTAAAGATTAAAACGAGAAACCAATGCAGAGAGCATAATAACTGCTATATTAGAATTCGCAATTATTTCCAGGTATACTGGCATTAGCCTATAATCCTAGATACTCGGGAAGCTAATGCAGGAGCACTCCACATTTGAAGCCTGCCAGGGCAACTTAGTGAAACCCCATCTCAAAATTAAAATTAAAAGGGGGCTGGGTTGTAGCTCAGTGGCAGAGCACTTGTCTAGCATCTGTGAAATCTTGAGTTCAATCCTTAGTACCTTAAAAAAATTCAATTATTATTTTTAAAACATTGCTGCATTTCTGAGCCAAATTCTATTTCATTATTATGTTTTGATCTTGTAACACAAAAGACATACCCTATTTATAACTTGAGAAATAATACATCAATAAAATTGTTATCTTTAGCTATCAGATGAATAGTTGATTTAATGATTTTATTACAAGAAATTTTTAGAAAAATTACCATGATAGAAACAAAAACACTTAGGATAAAGCTAAATTTTAGCTTTGGGTATTTGGGTTAGGTTAGCCTCAGGAAATGACATGGATAGCATTCTCTGTACTGGAGCAGAATGGCATAAGTGTAATCTGTTTCTTAATATTTTTCTAAGAATTCAAACAGAATCATTACTGTTTTAGAAGGCTTATTCTTTAAAGCATTTTCAATTTTTTTAGCAATTGGTCTGTTAAAATGTAGGTCTATGATTATTCTTGGTGAATCATTTAATTTCATCTAGAATTTTAAACTTGAGGCATATAACTACATTGTACTCTCATTTGTTTTTGTCTCCTCTAAATCTATTATTTGTCCTCTTTTTATCTCTAATTCATGTATTCTACCATCATTTTTCTGACCTAAATTTGTCAGGAAGTTGCTTATACTTCTAAACTTCTAAGAACCAGTTAAAAACATTTTACTGTGTATATTTTTTACTTTATTGGATTCATTTTTATCTGTTATAATTGATTTCTTCTCTTTTCCCTTCCTTTTCCCTATTATTCAAGTTTTGTTTGTTCATTTAATTTTTTATGGTACTGAGGACTAAATGCAGACGTGGTCAACTACTAAGTCACACCCCTTCCCTTTTTATTTATTTTGAGACATAGTCTTGCTAAGTTGCTTAGGGTCTTGCTAAATTGCTGAGGCTGGCATCGAACTTAAGATCCTCCTGCCTCAGCCTTCAGAGCGGCTGGGATTACAGGAGTGCACCATCTCACCCAGCTTATTCAGGTTCTTTGCCTAGTAAACATGAGACCCTCAGTTTAATTCCCCAGCATCACAAAAGCAATAAATAAATAAAACAGACTTAAAAGACACATTTATCCCTGGGCACAGTGGTGGCACATGCAATCCCAACAGCTCAGGAGGCTGAGACAGGAGGATCCTGGGTTCAAGGCCAGCCTCAGCAAAAGCGAGGTGTTAAGCAACTCAGTGAAACCCTGTCTCTAAATAAAATACAAAGTAGGGCTAAAATAAATAATTGCCACATAGGAACCAAGTGCCCCTTGGCTTTCATCGATGAGAATGTGGAGAACTGGCAAACCATAGGCTGTGTGTGTGTCAACTATGAGCATTGAGCACACAAAGTGGACTGAACCAACATTGCCCCTCTGGGCAGGGAAAGTAAGCATCTTTTCCCTGTGCTGGCTCTGCCTCTGCCTCTGCCTCTGCCTCTGATCCCCACACAGCACATGAGATGGGCGTGGGCTTCCTAGATGTCAGTTAACCTGCTGACAGCAAGACATCAGGAAGTTAGACTCAACCCAGTGAAACCTGACCCCTTGCCTCATTTGAATGGCTTCTCCCCAATAAAAGGGTTCAGCATGTGCTCCTAGCTCTCTTTCTTGCCTGCACTGCCCTTGTGGGAGCTGTGGCTGAGGAGCGGTCATTGAACTGAAAGAAAAGGTACTTTCTATGTCTGTATCTTTATTTATTCCCCAAATTCAGCTGGAGTGACCAGTTTAGTCATGTGATACAATAGTTGGGGATGTGGCTCAGCAGTCAAGTGCTCCTGAAATAATACCCAGTACCAAAAAACAAAAAAAAGACACATCAATCAAATGCAACATGTGGCCCTTCTTTAGATCCTGATACAAAGAAATGAACAACAAAAAAAATTATGGGACAATCAGAGAAACTTGAATATTAACTGTATGATAATATTAAGAAATAGCCAGTATTATGTCTTTGGTATATTAATAGTATTGTGGCATTGCCTTTTTAAAAACTAATCTTTTACATCAAAATGCATTCTACTGTCATGTATAACTAGTTAGAACATTTTTTTTCATATTTATTTTTCAGTCGTAATTGGACACAATACCTTTATTCCTTTTTATGTGGTGCTGAGGATCAAACCCAGGGCCTCGCACATGCTAGGCGAGTGCTCTACCGCTGAGCCACAACCCCAGCCTGAGAACAAACTTTAAAAAGAAAAAGAAAAAATACTAATCTTTTAGAAACACCTACTAAAATACAGATAAAATGAAATTACTTCTGAGATAGGTTTAAAAATAATACTTGGGTAGGGGAGTGAGAGGAAGTTAAAATGAAACAATGCTAACAACTAAAGCTAAACAATGGGAGTATGGCGGTGCATTAAATTATCTTCTCTACTTTTGTAAATACTAAAACTTTTTAAACAAAACAGTATTTGTAAATCTGTGGCTCTTGTTCCACTTAATATAGTGCGTAATGTCCACATAATCAATGGTTGATTTAATTAAAAGCATTAGATAACTACAATAAAAGGATGGGAGAGAGTAGTTTAAGACAGCTAAATACTATCATATGAGGATGAATATGGTCTAAATTTAATAAATCAAGAATAGGAACATAGGCATATAATTTTAATTTATGAAATACTATCTAGAAGAAAGAGGTAACAGTTAAAAGTAGCTGCATTTGGGGAGCAAGCTTGGTGGTTAAGCAGTAGAGTGCTCGCCCAGCACGTGCAAGACCCTGGGTTCAATCCTCAGCACCTATTAAAATAACTAAACTAAAAAATATCTTAAAAATAAATAAAATAAAATAACAAAAATTGCCGTCATACTAGTAGATGTATTCTTGCTTCATGTTTATCATGAGTTCTCGTCAGGGTTGGTATTGTATTTCGTTCCATCAAGGTATGAAGTTTGCTTCTTCCTCAGATCTTGACCAGGAAAAAACCTAAAGGTTCTTTGATAGTAAATAATAAGTATTATGTATAAGGAACTACTTGACCACTGCTACAAGCAGTATCATGGTTTGGTTAAGAATGCAGGCTCTAAAGATAGAATGTCTGGGTTTAAATGCCAGCCCAGTAACAATTTGCCAGACCCTGGGAAAAGCTCAATGTCTCAGTTTCCTCATCCATAAAATGGGGATTCTGTAAAACTGGGATGTAACAGAATCTCTGTCACAGGATTTATGTTATGCATATTCACGTGTTCAATAAAATTGGGATTATAACAGAATCTACTTCATGGGATTTGAGAGTGTTAAATGAGTTAATATAATAAAACACTTAGCACAGAACCTCTTCTGTAACAACAACTAATAGCTATTGAGTACTTTATATGTGCCCAGAACTATGAGAAATGCTTTATATATCATCACACAATACATTATGTAGTGAAGAGGTTTTTGTATTTCCAAAGTATAAGGAAAGTTGATTTTAAACACAAACATGGTACAACTATTTTCTGTAAATGAAACTTACTTTTGCTTTAAAACTGTTCTTAGAGCATCCTTCTGTCCCATGGTATACTGAGAAATACAGATATCATTTGCTGCAAAATTAAGATAACAAAAATTCATTAAATTTTAATAAGCCACTCACAAAACCTGACTTTTTTTTTTTTTTTTGGTACTGGAGATTGAACACAGAGGCCATCGACCACCAAGGCACACCCCTAGTCTTTTTATTTTTATTTTGAGACAGGATCTCACTAAATTGCCTAGGCTGGTCTCATTCTAGCCATACTGATGAAAAAAATAACAAAGGAGCTGGGGTTGTGATCTTCCTGCTTGTGATCCTCCTGCTTCAGGCTCCCAAGTTGCTGGGATAACAGGGGTATGCCACCATAATCAGCTTTAAAAACCCCACTTTTTTAAACTAAAAGAATATTTAGGGGGCTAGAGTTGTAGCTCAGTGGTAGAGTACTTGCCTAGCATTTGTGAGGCAATGGATTCGATTCTCAGCACCAAATATCAATAAATAAAGTAAAGGTCCATCAACAACTTAAAAAAAAAAATGTTTAGGACTAGATGCAGTGGTATGTGCCTATAATTCCAGCTCCTCATGAGTCTGAGGCAGGAGGATTGCAAGTTAAAGGCCAGCCAGGACAACTTAAATAAGACCTGTTCCAAACTAAAAACAAACTTTTCTGAAAGGTCTAGGGATAGACTCAACAATGAAGCGCTCATCTAGCAAGCTTGATATCCTAGGTTCAATCATAAGTACTTATTGGGGGTGGGGGGATGTTTAGGATTTAATAATAGGATTTCTCAATTTAAAAAGGCAAGAATAGGGGCTGGGGTTGTGGCTCTGATAGAGCGCTCGACTGGCATGCATGAGGCACAGGGTTTTTGGTCCTCAGCACCACATAAAAATGAAATAAAAATATTGTGTCCACCTACAACTAAAAAATAAATATTTTTTTAAAAAGGCAAGAATAGTCATAACCCTAGATACTAGAAAAATTTGTATCAAAAATATCTGAGAAACAAGAACATCTACAAATAGTTAAGATGAGATGTGTCATGTTATATGTACTTTGCCACATTTTTTTTAAAAAAGAAAATGCTGAGAAAATTGAAGGTGTTATAATTTTTATGCAAACCAAAGTAAATATTTGATATTACGTTATATGAATCTCTCCTTCGACCAGATTTATATAGAGAAGAGTGTGTGTTATAGAGAATTGTTTTTATTATGCTTGAGAATTAAATCTTACACATGTAAAAGATTTCTTAAAAATAAAAAGAAAGAAAAAGAAGGCTCAGGAGGTTCAGAAGGATCACAAGTTCAAGAGCAGCCCCAACAACTTAGGGAGACCTTGTTTCAAAATTTAAAATATAGGCCGCTGGGGTATGGCTCAGCGGTAGAGCACTAGCCTCCCACATGTGAGGCACTGGGTTCAGTGCTCAGCACCACATAAAAGTAAAAGAAAAAAAAATTAAAGATATTGCATCCAGGTAAAACTAAAAAATATTTTTTTTAAAAAAATTGAAATATAAATTAAAAGGACTAGGGGCTAGAGTTGTGGCTCAGTGGTAGAGCACTTGCCTAGCGTGTGAGGCACTGGGTTCAATTCTCAGCACTACATATAAATAAATCTTTAAAAATAAAACAAATAAAGGTCCATTGACAACTAAAAAACATTTGAAAAAAAAAAAAAAAGGATTGGTGATGTGGCTCAATGGTAAAGCGCCCTGGGTTCAATCTCCACTACAAAAGACCAAGGAAAATTTGATAAAATTTTAATACTACTTAGAATAAAAAAAAAATTGCTTTAAAATTTGTCAATAAATAAAACTTTTTGAAGGACATTTTTAATCTATTATCTGACCCTACAAAACCTGAGTTCAGAATTTATAAAAAAAAATTATAAATGGGGGCTATGGATATAGCTCAGTTGATAGAGTGCTTGCCTCGAATGCACAAAGCCCCCCTGGGTTCAATCCCCAGCACCACAAAAAATAAAATAAATAAATAATAATAAATGTATATTCAATACCAAACCTGTATAATAGATTGGTTATACTAAAATAATCTTTACTATTGCAGACACTTTTCTGGATTTTTGAGTGTATTAATAACTTAATTTGGGAGAATAATTAAAATTAAAATAACATGGTATAGCTCAGTGGTAGAGTGCTTGCCTAGCATACATGAGGCCCTGAGTTTAATTCCCAGCACTCAAAATAATAATAATAGTAATAGTAATAAAAAACCTGTTAGTTTGTTGAATGAATATCCAGAAATCAATTTTACCTTTAAAAAGAAAATATTGACACATGCTAAAAAAAGAATGAATATTGAAGACAATACATTAAGAGAAATAAGCCAAACACTAAAGGATAAATACTGAATAAGTCCAATTATACAAGGTACCTAGCATAGTCAAATTCATAGAGGCAGGAATTAGTAGTTAATGGCCATAGAGTTCAGTTGGGAAAGATTAAAAAAACAAAGTCCTGGAGATAGACAGTGGTGATGGTTGCACAACAATGTAAAGATACTTAACGTCACAAACTATATATTTTAAAATGGTTAAAATGGAAAATTTATGTATATTTTACCACAATAAAAAATGTCAATTCTATTCTTTTACCGTTTTGTCTGTTGCTCTCTTCTGTTTTATCCAAAGGTAACCTCTGCACTACAACATCTTTAGAAAAATCCTTTGGGATATAAGAGGAAAAAGTGAAAAATAAACTTTATGATTTATTCCTTTCCAATACCATTTACTAACTGTGATTACTGTGCTCTGGGAGAGCAGGACTGTGTGTTTTGTATATTTCATTCCCAGCACTACACAATGCTTAGGTACTTTGAAGCTACCCAAGGATTTGTTCAATGAGTCAATAATATACTGTCAGGAGCTGGCAATGTGGCTCAAGCGGTAGCGCGCTCGCCTGTCATGCGTGCGGCCCAGGTTCAATCCTCAGCACCACATACAAACAAAGATGTTGTGTCCGCCGAAAACTAAAAAATAAATATTAAAATTCTCTCTCTCCCTCTCCCTCTCTCTTTAAAAAAAAAAATAGTAACACATGTCAGAGAGGTGAATAAATGAGCAAATGGGCAAACAAGCGAATGTGGCACTGAGATCCAGACTCAATTCTTGATTTGCCACTTGAAGTAAAATAAATTATTGGGGCTGGGGTTGTGGCTCAGTGGTACAGTGCTTGCCTAACACGTGTGAGGCCCTAGGTCAAATCCTCAGCACCACATAAAAATAAATAAAATAAAGGTATTGTGTCCAACTACAACTAAATAAATAAATATTTAACATCTCAGTTGCTTCAGTTCAAATGTGAAAATCTGACTCTTTGTTAATCAAATGGAGTAGATAAGAATGATCAATGAATGGCAAAACATCACAAATTAATCACTGATTTCTTTTTTACTGAGTTCTTATGTAGTCTCAGAAAGCTTCTCTGACACCTACTGGCAAATAGCTTTCTGCTCATGTGTGCAATTCTAGACTTCATCTCTAGGACTCTATTCAGTATTAAAACACAATGACCTTTTACAGTACTAGATTAACTCAGTATTGTCCTTCACCCTTTTTTTTTTCCTGATAAATCAGAAAGGGGAAAGGAAAAATATCATACAAAAAAAATTGTTCAAGGATAGCCACTGATGAAAGTTAACAGGTGTTAACTTTCTAAAAAATAAACAATGAGGCTAACAATCCAGTAGACATATTTAATATCTCAAACATATTCAAGTTCCAATTGTAGTATATAAAACATTTCTCTTCACACATGATAAAGAAAAACAAGGCATGTTGCTAACTGAATATAAGAACATATTGTTTGACAATAATGAAAATTTTAACATGATTAACATATTTAAGGACTCTTGCTTACGTTTTCTGATATAGCAGAATTTTCTAACGGAGGCTTGTGATATTTTCTAGAAGAAGTTATATCCGAAGAACCTAACAAAATAAAGGAATCAATTTGAGTGTTTTTAAAAACAGTAGCTTACCTATAATTATAGGCATGATTCAAGAACTATAAGCTCTATATTTGACAGATACTTTAGATGAAAAAATTATTAGGGAAAATAGGAGTCAGTATGAACAATAAAGAGACATAAGTACAAAATGTTTTAAAATACATCAGTTTAACCTGGGAGCAATGGCACATGCCTGTAATCCCAGCAGCTCCACAGGCTGAGGCAGGAGAATCACGAGTTCAAAGCCATCCTCAGCAATTTAGTGAGGCCCTCAGCAACTCAGTGAGACCCTGACTCTGCATAAAATTTTTAAAAGCGCTGGGGATGTGGCTCAGTGATTAAGCCCCTGAGTTCAATCCCCAGTACAAAAAGTAAAAAAAAAAAATCAGTTCAGTATTGGATATGGGCAAACTATGGGATTTACCAGGAGCAAAATATGAACATGATATAAAAGCCTGATTTAACAGAAGCCTGTTATGGTATCATTGCTGTACCTCCAAAACCCCAGCATTATAAAAGTGTTTTGAAGGGCTGAGGATATAGCTCAGTGGTAGAGTGCTTGCCTGGGATGAGCAACTGTCTATGCTCAGCATTGCAAAAATAAAAATAAAATTAAAGCACTTTGTTGTTTATTTTATTTTTTATTTTTTGGCAGTACTGGGAATTAAACTTAGGGACGCTCTACCACTAAGCTACATCCTCAGCCCTTTATTATTTTAAGACAGGGTCTTGCTAAATTGTCCAGGCTGATTCAAACTTGCCATCCTCCTACTCAGCCTCCTGAGAGGCTGGAATCAAAGGTGTATATTCATTAATTTTATCCTTACAATAACCAGTAGAATTTATAGTAAAGTGGGTAAAAGCATAATGTTTTCATTTTCTCTGAGCTCCAGACAGGATAAATGAATTGAAACAAAGAAGTCATCAAATGACTTGAGTTGTGTTTATACTATGCCAAAGTGAATAGTACTGTAGAGCACTTGGTAAAGAGCACTACTGGGGGAAATTTAATTCATTATACAAGTTAAGCATGTCTATCATAAATGTGAACAAGAATTATGTGCAAACATGACACGAAGAAAAAGCACAATAGGAAAAGTTAAAGTTTCATTTACCGAAACCATTCATTTTGTGGACCCTCTATGTCTGGCCATTTTCCCAGGGAACAGGGTCAGTTTTTAAACATCGGTATAAGCCGGAAATATCTTACACTTTTGAATTTAAACATTAAGAATCCCCTATATTTTGATGCACAATAACCAAAATAAAGATTAAGTTTTACAAAAAAGAAAACTGGCTGAAAAACTACAGTATATGGAATAACATACCATGCAATGTTCCATTCATGTTAGTCCCCATTCGAACAGGAGGACGTTTACTTGCAGACAACACTGGAGAAACACGGGGCAACTCATCTTTCCACAAAGCCAAATTGTCTTCCTGATTCGGAGAAAGGACCTCACGAAGTCTCCTCGCGGGCATTTTAACCCTTTTTTTCTTTCCCGGGCTAAACTCGGAGCTTTTCATATTGTTAGCAAGAAACCTAGTCCCACAATTCTAAATGGAAGAACTTTCTTCTGTGTTCATAAGACTCCTGAATAAAACTTCCACCTCTTTGAGGACTAAGGGAATACAAGAAGGGAAAAGGGGCATATTAAAAAAAAAAAGAAGAAGAACGTGAATTCTAAAAATGATTATGAATATGCAGTCATTAACTTAAAAATTAAAATGTCTAAGGAGAATACTCACAAAGCTGGAATTTAACTTTTGGTACTTAATCCAGGACCAAAGACGACTAGGTCATATTTAGCCATAAAACTCACTGAGTCTATTAATGCACCAAGCCAATGAATCTAAAAGGGGATGACAATAGAATGGCCACGGAGCAACAACAAAGTTAATGCCCTCCCCAACCTGAGGGCTGGCAGTGCAACGACAAACAAATGTGGAAACGGGGTTAAAATTTGTTCAAGAGGGAGTCAAGCAGGCAAAATCGAAATGCTGTTTAAAAAAAAAAAAATCACCCACATAAGATTAAAAGCTTTCTTCACCGACAGAGTCTTACATAAGCCTCCAGATGCAATCACCGGACGCCTAAATGCACTCTGCATCTCCAGTAAACCCGGCAACCTCGCAGTCAGTGGTCTGATCTGACAACAGCTTCAACACCCACTTCCCTTTAAGCCCGCCCTTGAGACACAACACGCATGCGCGCCAAGAAAAGCGTCCAAAACATCCAACCAAAACGCAAGTACTCTCCCGTGCCCTTCCATCCCTGTCCGGGTGGAAACAAATTTACACTGTTAAAACCTTAAAAGAGATGTGAATTTATTTTTATTTTAAAGACAGCACATCTCCCTACAAGATTAAGATATTGGCTAAAATTCGAGAGACTCATCTTCGACTGAAGCGCTCCTGACCTGACTGGTAACACTACTCGTGTTTATTAGGGATTATTTTCACTGTAGCTCCTGAAGACCGTTAGGACCGTGGGATTAAGTAAATTAGTCTTCCAAAGAGCTTCAATAGATTCGGGTCGTAGGGAGAGTCAGTCAGGAATAGAGAGCGTTGGTTAAACATACAGCCACGAAGTTAATTTTTAGTGGATTTCAGAATTCATTTACGGTACTGGATTTTTTCCCTAGATTTCCCCACGCTGTAAAGAATCTGCGTCAAAGAGTTTAAGTACTGTTTGACATCACCGCTCCCACGTGTTCTGTGCTCTCCAGCGGCTGCGGCACCCTGACCTCGACCCTCAGCCCCCAGACTCCGCCTGCATTGCAGCCCCCCAGCCTCTTACCAGTCGGATGCGAGAGCCTGTGATTAAGTATGGTCTCTTTTCTCTGCCCTCAGAATCCTGGGCTCTCGGGTGGGGGGCGGAGGTCAGCTTCGGAACGGTGGCAGGGTCCCGGGAGAGAGCGGCCGCGATGTGTGTGGGCCGCGGGGGCTGCAGACCAGGGCAGCGCGTCCGGCCAGGTGCGGACCTAGGCGGCGGCCTCGTCAGCCTGCCAGGGTGGGAAGCAGAGGCCCCGAGCCACCTCAAGCTCAGGTTTGGGGAGTCTTTTGCGGGGACAGAGAATTAGGCTGTAAGGTTTTCTGTGCCGCGACCTTGCGCTGACATGCTGGAGTCCCTCCTTTAACTGCAAAATCCTTTCTAGACTCCAGTCCTTTCTAGATTACCAGGGCTGTCTGCTCATTTTCGAAGACGCACTGCTTAGAGCCTTCCCTTTTCGCCTTGCTGTGTGTAGGCTTTAAAATAGATTAATCAAAGTAAAATATGTAGTCCGATGGAAAAGCTGCCTACTTTCATAGACGTCTAGAATTAAAATGGACCTACGGGACAGCTTTGGAGAACATTTCACTTATTTTTGCATCTTGATGAGTTTCAGTAATTATTATGTCAGTTACATTTTCCCCGTTGACATTGGTCTCTTTTGTTGAACCTATTTGTTCACAGTTTGCATTAAGTGTATTAAAAGAATAACAATGTCAGAGCTGCCAGAGATCTTATGATCACTTAACTTCCATAATTTCTGGGTGAAACTTGGGTGTGAATGAGAAAGGGGGGGGACCTTATCTTGCCCCTTTTATCTCTAAGGCATTTATTAAGCAAAGACATTTATTAATATGACTTGAATAATTTGGATCTTAAAAATCCTTTTAATGTCATCCTCCAGTTCCCAAGGCTCAATTCTTGAAGCCAGTCTTTCCAGTCTGAAAGGAGTATGATTATCTCTCAAAACTGTTCTGGTTAACAATGAGTTATCATTGTTAGGGTTATTAGAGTTATTGTTAGACAACCTAAATCTGACTAAAATAACTTCCTAAATCTGCTACAAATAATTTAAAGGGTCATGTGATACCTATTAGGTTATATTAAACAAGTTAGTAAAAACAGTTTAGACATTTGACCTCAAAGACACTGATAGCTCTGATACCAAAAAAAAAAAAAAAAAATGGGTCAGAGGGCGTTTTCCCCCCTTTTTCCTTTTTTTAATATGTATTTGCTTTTTCTTTCCCACGCTTTCTCCAAGCATATATAGATAAAATTTTTCTGCTGAACCATTTGCAAGTAAGTTGCAAACATGAACTTTAACCACAATTTATTCAGCATGTGTCTCCTTAAGGACATTGTATTACACAACATCAATAAATTATCATACTTGATAACATTCAAATTTCTCAATTATCCAGGAAGTGTTTACTGTTTCTTTGATCAGGTTCCAATCAAAGTTCACATACTATGTATAGTTCTCAACACTCTTCAGTCTCTTAATCTACATCAACCTTTTCTTTATTGCATTTTTTAAAAAGACCAGCCCAGTTTTCTTCAGTTATTGCTTATTGTGGATTTTCCTGATTATTCCCTAATGATCAAAGAGCATTTTTTTTTTTACAAGAATGCCACATAAGTAATGCTCTGTGCCTTAGTGGGTCCCATCATAAAATACCTAATGCCATGACTCAATGTATGTGGTGCTAGGTTTAATTATTTGGTTAATATGACTAGTGACTATGATCTTTCCAACATGAAGGAGTACTTTTCTTTCCGTGATATGTAACCTATGGAGCTGCTTTAAGAACATAGATATATCCTGTTCCTCAACTACTTGTCACTCAGTGGTTTTATATGATCTTTGCCTGAACCATAAGATGCCAATTACCAGTACCAATCCTCAAAGACCAGGAGCAATTATATTGATAGGGCCAAGGACATCAGAAGAATCATTTATTGTAAACTAAGTTTGAGCAGAATTAGGATTTGGCTTCAAAGTTGGTACAAATCTGCATATGATTTTTAAAAGGAAACGGAAGGTATCTCCTTATCATGTCCTGGTTAATTTATTTTATTTAGTATTATACATTTCTGGAAATTGTTATGTGATGATATTCACCTGAAATAAAATTTTTCTGGGGCCTTTGAAATCTCTTTTGTTCTTTGCTAAATGGATTTCCTTTCTGAGAAGGAAAATAATTTAGGGAAGTTACTAGGTGCATTAAGAAGAGATAATAGACATGGTTAATAAATGTGAAAAAATGTAAGCAAAAATAACAATTGCTGAAGAAAGGGTCTGAAGAGCTTACAGCATGTTTGTCTATTTGGAGAATATATTTTAGATAAATGGTAATCTAAATAACAGCTTATTGGAAACATAGGTCTTAAAGTGTAAGAGGGAAAACACTGCTTAAAGTTTGAACAACACCTTAGTTAGGCCCCTACTGTTGCAGTTATTGTTTGTAAAGTGGTCTCTTATAAATGTAGACATTTCTAAACTTTCCCTCCCAGGGTTATTAGAAGAATCATATAAGAAGTAATAATATGTAGGATGACATTAAGTATGCTAAAGAATTGTAGTCTCAGAATAGAGGGGAAGAGGAGTATTGGGGATGTAGCTCAGTGGTAGAGTGCATGCTGGCATGCATAATGCCCTGGGTTTGATCCCCATTACAGCAAGAAGGAAAAATACCTGATGTATCATTTAACTTGGTAATAAAAAAGAAGCAGCTTTTTTAAAAATAACATCGCCACAGAACTTTAGATTTCATCAGAAAGACTGTTAGAGCTCCAAAGGGCCTCAGCAGTCATACTATAACACCCTAATTTTTCAGGTAAGAAATCAGGCCTCACTGGAGAAAGACGTTCAAGCAAAGGCTGGACAACCACTTTTCCAGAACAAAAAGGAAACTCATGCATCAGAAAAGGTTTGAGCTCGATGACTGATAAGATCTCCCTTTACTATTAAGTTCGCTGGTTCTATAAATATATATCGTTTGGCACAAAACTAAACATTGCTATCATCATTCATAAGAGGTAAGCTAGAGTTCTATCCCTACACCAGCTTTCAGGGATTTAGCCTGACACTAACTCCTGATTGGATATTTGCCTCTAGAATTAAAAGCCTTTTCTGTAAGAAAAGAAACAAAGAATCAATTAAAAAGACAGCCACATTGCTGCAACCTGTTCTCACCATCAGCAGTTTTGTATGGCTATTGGTCTTTGTCAGTCAGTGTACCTCAGGATTAAAAAACTACACAATGAATGGTGAAAGATTTAGAAGACCTTACACTATAGAGTGAATCTGAAAATCATTCATTTGAGCATCTCCACTGTTTACTAGGAATAGTTGTCTGTGGTTAGTTTCATCATAATCTTGATAATAATAACACTACAGAGAATAAATAAGCTATGAAGATTTAGGCAGAGTTAAGAGAACTGCTGGGGCTGGGGTTGTAGCTCAGTGGTACATCGCTTGCCTAGCATGTGAGAGGCATGGGTTCAATTCTTAGCACCGCATATAAATAAATGAATAAAATAATGGTCCATCAACATCTAAAAAAAAAAAGGAAAAGAAAATTTCTGGTTGGGGGTGTACTCAGTGGTTACACTTACCTAGCATGCACAAAGCTTTGGGTTCAATTCCAAATACGTTGGAGGGTGGGGGAATTGCTGACTATTAGCTGATATGTTAGCAGTGATCTTTCAGTAGATTATATTACTTTTATAGTATAATAAACTTTTTTTTTTTTTTTTAAGGAGGAGACTGTTTAAGGAATGTACATTAAAAGACAACTAAAACAAACCACAGGGTTGTGGCTCAGTGGTAGAGCACTTGCCTAGCATGTGTGAGGTACTGGGTTCAATCCTCAGCACCACATAAAAATAAGTAAATAAATAAAATAAAGGTATTGTGTCCATCTATGACTAAAAAAAAAAATTTCAAAAAAGAAATTCATACCAGTATCATTTGGGGTGTTCCTCATCTATATCTTGCCAAAGACTTCCCAATGATATCCATCATTTGTCCTCATGAATTGCATAGTAAGGGGGTTGGGAGGACTGACAGTACAGTGTACCTGTCTCTGAAATTTACAGAACATTTAAAAACTTCTCTATCTCTAACTTCTGGATGAAAAAATCAATAAACATGAATTTTAACCTGAGGGAATACAAGGATAGGAATAAGAGAACTAGATTATTGTTAGTCATTGTGTAAATTTTCTAATTCTAAGGAAATCAGATCTCTTTTTTTTTTTTTTTTTTTTTGGTGTGGAAAATCCAGTTTGCTTCATGTCCTAGATACAGTGAGAAAGCTCAGGTCAGGTGGATGGCCTTTTGTACTTTGAGCCAGATTCCTGCTGGTAAAGCAAGTTCCTTAATACATATTTTATTGTCCTTGTATTTTTTAAGTTCCCACAAAAAAGTTTCATATCATACTAATTTCATAAAGTCGTCTTACCATTTCTTGGATCTTTTCCAGACTGTTTTTTGAGTGGGAATCGAAAAGAAGTCTAACTTGGAATTCTACCCACCTACTTCAGTACAAAAGTTAGAGATAGAGAACATATAAAGTTTTTAAATGTTCTGTAAATTTCAGAGACAGGTACACTGAACTGAAGGTGAATCCAGGGGCGTTTTACCATTGAGCTACAACCTCAACCTCAGCCCCCTTTTTGATTTTTTTGAGACAGGATCTTGCTAAGTTGCTCAAGCTAGCCTCAAATTTGTGATCAGAACTTCTGCCTCTGCTTTTCTTGTAATTGGGATTATAGGCATGCACCACCACTCTAGCCCAATTTGGATCTCTTGCTAACAACATTTACCTTGCTGCATCTTGTTTGGGGGCAGGGATTATAATAGTATGCAATCTCTCGCTCTAAAATTAAACTCTTGATTCTGAGATCATTGTAAATTCATATGCAGCTATAAGAAATAATATAGAGATCTTATGCTCTTTACCCAGTTTTCCATAATGGTAACACTGTATAAAACTGGAGTACAATATCACATCTAGGATATGGATATTGATACAGTCAAGATTCAGAACATTCCATCATAAAGCTTTTTCATGTTACCTTTTTTGAAGCAACACTCCAGTCTCATCCCCCTCCCCTTAACCATTGGCACCCACTAATATGGACTTCATTTATTTAATTCTGTCATTTCAAAATGTTACATAAACGGAATTATACAGTATGTAACCTTTGCGGATTGACTTTTCACTCAGCATCATTCTCCAAGCTGCTGTATGTATTCATGCCTCTTTTTTGTTGCTGAATAGTATTCCATAGTATAGATAGAAGTTTGTTTAGCCAAATACTCAGTAAAGAACATCTGAGTTGTTTCCATTTTCAACTGTTATAAAGTTTCTATAAATAACCAGGGACAGATTTTTGTATGAATATAAGCTTGCATTTCTCTAAACTAAATACCTAGGAACAGAATTGTAGAGTGAATTATATGTAATTATTATGCTTAAATTCTGGGGATTGAACCCAGGGATTCTGTATCACTGAGCTACAGCTACAGTGTCAGACCTCTCTCTCCCTCCCTACACATATACATATATACATATTTTTTTTTTCTTTTTTTCTTTTTTTTTTTTTTTGAGACAGGGTCTTGGTAAAATACCTAAGCTGAGATTACAGGTGTGCACCACCATGCCTGCCTTGTGGTTATCTTTTTGTCCTCTTAATAGTATCTTTTACAAAGCAAGTTTTTAGTACTGCTGAAATCAGATTTAATCAAAATTTTCCTCTTACAGATTATGCTTTTGATGTTATCTAGCACTAATGTCTGAGGAGTTCTCATAGTTTTCTAAAAATTTTAATAATTTTATATTTTACTTTAAGTCCCTAATCCATTTTGAATTGATTTTTATATAAGGTGACAGACTTAATTCAAGGTTAAAATTACCCTAAGTCTATATATCAGTCTTGGGAAAAATGACATCCTTGCTCTTTCAAGCAGTAGTGCAAGACTTCTAATCTGTGAACACATGACACGTCTGTTTATTATGTCTTAATTATTAGCATTTTATACATAAACATACTTTTATCCATATCGTTTTTGGGGGGTTTTTTTAGTAATTGTCATTGGTGTTATAATTTCAGTGTGCATTTATATTCATTGCTAACATACAGAAATGCAGTTTTTTGTTGTTGTTTTGTTTTCAGTGCTAGGGTTTAAACTTAGGGTCTTACACATGCTAGGCAAGCACCTACCACTAAGATATATGCCTGTCCTCTCTTCTTTCTTTCTCCTTTGAGACAGAAATCTCTCTCAAGTTGCTGAGGCTGACCTCTAATTTGCAATTCACCTACCTCAGCCTCCTTAGTAGCTGGGATGACAGGTGTGTACCACCCCACCCAACTATAGCTGTGTTTGATGCATACATATTAAGGATTGCTATATCTCTTGATAAATTGGTCTATATGTACTTTTTATTTTATTACTATTTTTAGTTGTAGATGGACACAATACCATTTATTTATTTATCTATTTATTTTTATGTGGTGCTGAGGATTAAACCTAGTGCCTCACACTAGCTGGGCAAGCACTCTACCACTGAGCTACAACTCCAACCCCTATGTGTCTCTTTCTGTCTTTAATAATTTTCTTTGTTCTAAAACCTACTTTCTCTGATATTATCTATTCCTGCTTTCTTTGTTTTTTTGTAACATCATGAGTATTTATTCCTTGTTAACAAATATATTTTAAACATTTAATTAAATTCATTTATTTTAATTGAAATTCACTTAAATTACAACTAGAATAGCTTTGTTTCTTTTTTTTATTTTTTGTTATTTTTAGATATACATGAGAGTAGAGTATATTTTGACATGTCATACAAACATGGAGTAATTACTTCCCATTCTTGTGGTCGTACATGATGTGGAGTTACTCTGGTCATATACGAACATAGGAAAGTGATGTCCAATTTATTCTACTGTCTTTCCTATTCCTATTCCCTCTCTCTTTCCTTCATTCCCCTTTGTCTAATCTAAAGTCCTGCTTTCTTGTGATTGTATAACTTTTCCCATCCTTTTGTCTTTAACCTGTGTGTATCATTAAATATGAAGACTTTCCTGTAGACCATTTATACCTGGATGATATTTTTTAATCCCCTCCCAGTCTGTCTTTTAACTGGTATATTTAGATTGAGTTTTTGTGTTTTTTTTTTCCATCTACTAGGGGTTTAAACCTGTTACTTTTTGTTTTTGTTTTTGTTTCTTTTCCTGCAGTCCTGTGATCCATTTTGATTTACCTACAGTTTTCTGAATGAATATCTGTACTGAGTATTTAACCCAGGAGTACTTTACCACTGAGCTACAGCCCCAGCTCTATTTATTTTCTATTTTGAGACAGGGTCTGACTAAGTTGCTGAGGGTCTCAATAAATTGCTAAGGCTGGCCTTGAACTTGTGATCCTTCTGCCTCCCAAGTCGCTAGGATTTACTGGTATGCACACTGCACCCAGCTATTGCATACATATATTTAGAACCACCTTAAATGGTCTTGTGATTTTTGCTATAATTGATGAAAATAAGATAGGAAACTCAAGAAGAGAAGGAAAATGTATTATACTGAACTTTTTTTTATTACTGTATTTTTCTTCTTTATGTCCCAACATTACTTTTATTGTTTTCTGTTTAAAATCTTTAAACATTGTTTCAGGCAGATTTGTGGACAAAAAATTCTTATTAGTTTTCCTTCATTTGAGAATGTCTTGGTTTCTTCTTCATCCCTGTAGGATACTTTCATTAAATACATTTGTCTGGTTTGACCATTCTTTTCTTTCAGCACTTGAAAAATTTTGTTCCTCTTCCTCTGGCCTCCATAGTTTCTGATGAGAAATGTGCTATTATCCTGATTAGTTTTTACCTATAGAAAGATGTTGTATTTCATTCGCTGCTTTCAGATTTTTTTGGTTTTTAAATTTTAGGTATTTGACTTGATGTGGATTTCATTGGGTTTATGCTGTTTGGGATTCGTTCAACTTCTTGAATTTTAGGTTTATGTCTTTTGCTGAATTTGGAATGCTTTCAGGCATTCCTAGCTGGGAAAAACTGGAGTACCTCATTACTGTTCCCCAGTGGCCTCTACTGATACCACAGTAGGGCATATGGCCTAATCTTCATGGGGCAGTAATGCAAGCCCTGAATCTCAAGTAGACCTTCTTTGATACTATCCCAGAGGAAAGAAATTAGGATGGAAGCTAGTTTCCCTGTCTGGTTTCCACTGACACTTGGTGTTAGTTGTGGGATGGGAGTCTTTTTACTGCCTGTCAGGATGAATGACCCTTTCCCTAACCAGCCTTTTCTAGCAGCACTACAGTGTAGGTGTTGGAGCACCTCATTACATTCCTTGTAGATGGAAATCTAGGCTTCCCAGTTGGCCTAAGCTGATATGTGAAGGGATAAAAGTGACAGTTTTTTCTGTGGACTTTGCTAGGTATATAGTGGTTACTGCCTAAATTTAGTCTTCTGTCTTGCAATTTTGGTTAGAGACCAAGCTTTTGGTGTGTGGTGGGTTTTTTTTTTTTTCCTGCCCCCATTTGCAGGTGGCCAGCTTCTTCAACTTTTAAGTCTATATAAAGAACTAAAAAATACAGAGAATTTACCCCTGTGTTTCTGAGCCCAAGGTCCTAACCAGTCTGCTACTTTCCATCTACCTCTCAAAAGTCTTCTTATATTTGCTTTACATATAATGTAGGATTTTTAGTTGTACATGTTAAAGGAATGAGGAAAGGCACAGCTGCGCCATCTTCCTGGAAGCACATGTCCTAAACAGTATCACTGCATGATATACATATGGAATCCTGTTTCTTTAACTGGGTAATGGTGTTTTATAGCAGCCATAAAAATGCATCTTGTCTCAGAAGTATAGTGTCAGAAGCTAGTTTCATAACTACCACTGTCTTCAGTACATTCACTAAGTGTTTACTGAATGAACATATACCAATTAATTAATTAGAATCATAACTGCCAAGATTCTAAACTGTAAGTTTGATGATGATACTAGAAGATGATTAAATAGGCTTGGATTTCTGTGCAAGCCTATTTGGAGGGGTTGGAATCTGTGTTTGATCATTTACATACAACTAAGGGGAAATATAAGGGATAGTACCTTACCTGGAACATATAGTGATACAGCAATATCTGAAAAATGGTTACCTTCAATTAATTCTTGGTGTTTATCCAAGTAGTTTCTACAGTAAAATATATATACATATTGTTTATAACACTGTGAAATAAAACTCGAATGAAGAGCATTCTTGTTAACTTGCAAGGCGTTTATGGAACACTAGTTGCCTAAACTTTGGGCTCACTTAAAATTTCTACTGTGTTTGTTCAACAGCAGATATAAAGAGATTTGGAAGGGTTGTCTGTCTAGTTACTAAACCCAAAGTTCTTTGATATACACAGTTACACCTTTTATTAATCATTACTCCAAAGAAAACTATGAGCTATAACATCTAAAATGAGACTAGCATACCAAATAGAAAAGAACTAATGCTTTCCCTTGCTTATGACTTTTAAAATATCAGTAATTATCACATATATTCGGGATAAGGAAAAAAGAGGAAGGAAAAGTAAATACAGAAGGGGGAAATTATATACATGGTTGGGAGTGGTTAAAGTGAAATTAACATTGATTATATGTTTTACTAAAAATGAGAATGTTAATTTTTTGATAGTAGTGTCATATGCTTTGCCTTAAACTTTAATTTCCTAGTTTTTGTGCTTTTCAAGGCAACTAAATAATTGATGATCCAATAAGAAACATATATACATACAGTTTATCTTTTCTGCTTTGTTTATTAGGGAACACGCAGCTGAACATAATGCATAACATTACAGTGTATGTGATCAGTAGTTGCTTATTCTTCCTTTTACATGATGTTTAATTTCTCTTTTAAACAGCTTTATTTTATATAAACCTTTCATATGATATGCTCAAACTTTTTAGAACTAGCTAGAATACAGTAAATAAACAATATACACGTTCTTGAATCTAGATTAACTGAAGTCCTACATTTAGGATATGTGTAAACCTCAGTAATATAGAAAGTTTTTTTTTCCTTTCTGTTGCCCCCAAGTTATATCAGAAGTTTCTAGTAAGTCTTTGTGATTGCCCTTTATGAACTCCAGAATGTATAACTTCAGAAATTTTCCTTTAGCATCTTCTGGAATTCTGAGTATCTTTCTTGAGCATTGTTGATAAGTGAGTGGTGTTTGTTAAGGTTTAATTGAAACTTCACATTTACATATAGTAAAAGAATCATTAGCACCTCAGGTCAGATTTAAATTGTCAACCAGTGGAATAATTAAGAAATTTTAAGACACTAGAGTTCAGAGCAAACTGTCTTAAAGCTGTAGATTTAGGTAAGACAAGAACTCTGAATTCCAGAGCTAACATTAGAACATTTTCACTGTAAATTGTGAGGTTCTGTTGTCACTAATGATCTGTGAGATTGGGGATGGCATATAATTTATGTACACAGTTGGAAATTTATAAAATATGAACGATGATTAGCTAACTCTTGACCTAACTTTAAAAAAAAAGTAAATTGACCTTTTTTTTTTTTTTAATCAGGTGACTAATAAACATACCAAAAGAATATGGCTGCACAAATACCAGAATCTGATCAGATAAAACAGGTAAGGTATTATAATTAAGGGAACAGGATTTGGGGGGAACAAAACGTAAAGCACTACTGGATGCAACCAGGTTAGTCAGAGATTTCACAAAATAAGTGTTGTATTTCATCTCTAAGAACAGATATTATATGAATCATGTTTTTTTGTTTTTGTTTTTGAGACAGGGTCTCATTATGTTACCCATGTTGGTCTCCAGCTTCTGGGCTCAAGTGATCTGGCTCAGCCTCCCAAGTAACTGGGACAATAGGCATGTACACCTAGCTATTGCACCTGGTTCTGAGTGTGTGTGTGTGTGTGTGTGTGTGTTACTGGTGATTGAACCCAGGGCTTCACACATGCTAGTCAATCACCAAGCTATATCCCTACCCCTTTCTGTTTTGAGACAGAGTTTCACTAAGTTACCCAGGCTGGTCTTGAACTTGTGATCCTCCTGACTCATCTTCCTGGGTAGCTGGGATTACAGGAATGTACCACCACACCTGACTACATTTATATTTTTATTCTGGTCAATATTCCGATGGCAAAAATGTACAAGTAAACGATATTTTATAGATCATATTACACCTATTTAAGTTAGCAAGAGAATCTATGGTTTCAAGTGTGACAAGATATTTTGTTTAAATACAAAATATTGGTAAAGTTTCGAAGCATCTTTGTTGCAAAAACTGAATATTAAAGAACTTTCTATTTTAGTTTAGGGAATTCCTTGGAACCTACAATAAACTTACAGAAACCTGCTTTTTGGACTGTGTAAAAGACTTTACAACAAGAGAAGTAAAACCTGAAGAGGTATGAAAAGTGTTGCTCACTAAATTTCTCTAAGTTTGTCATAATAATAGGATGCCCCTAAGCATTTCACTTGTTCCTACTTACTACAGGAATTTGGGCTGCTTTTTATGTGCCTTTTATGAGCCACTGCTTGGAGGAACTGAAGCTGCCAGGGATCTATGAGCATAAAATGTTTCATGATGCCAAATTTAATGTGAAAGTCACATTGTACCAAGACAGACCTTTTTAGAGAAGATACTTGGGGTTGCTGAGTTACTGTTCTACCACAAAGATTCTTAATAATTACCTTTCAGTAGTTCTTAATAATTACCTTTCAGTAGAGATGGCCTGGCTAAAGAAACAATACAGCCTTTCTATGTCCCTGACAACTCAGGTTGGCATTGGAAAAAGCAAAGCTTAAATGTGGTGGTTCATATTGCATAGGTGGGTTCTGAACCCCAATCCTATTAGAAGTCTTAACTTTTAATATCCTCATTAAAACATTTATATTGGTAACATTCATGACAAGAACTTAACATATAACCAGCCATCAATAAGTACTTCTTAAATAACTGACATTTTAGGAGAGATGCTAATGTAATATTCTTGTTAAAAAGTAAAAAGGTTGAGAATTTAAAATGTTGAGAATGGGGTTTCTTATTAAAAAAGGAACAAACCTGCTACTAAGAATATATTCACTAAGAGGATAGGAATTTGGGCTTTCAGTTAATATTAAAATATACTGAAAAAAAATCTAGTTCAGAAGCTTCATAAAGACAAGGACCTATCATAGTTCTTAATGCCTACAAACTGGTAGGCATTTAGTATATGTTAATTCTTATATCAATAATTTAAAGCTATGGTCACTTGCTACCCATTTGTGCTACTTAGTTCACCAATATTTAAAGAAAAGCAAAGTTCCTACTCGTTGTTCTTTTAGAATATGTGCATTTTTAAAAACTGATATTTTCGAATTGCTTCTTGGATCTTCCCTTTTCTAGATCACCTGTTCAGAACATTGCTTACAGAAATATTTAAAAATGACACAAAGAATATCCATGAGATTTCAAGAATATCATATTCAGCAGAATGAAGCCCTGGCAGCCAAAGCAGGACTCCTTGGTCAACCACGATAAAGAGAAATCCTGATGGATGGACTTTCAATGAAAGATTGCCAACAGCTGTTGCACTGGAAATGAGGATTCATGTGATGGAATCCCCTGAAAGCAGTAGGCACCATGTTAAACCACCTGTCGTGACTCTTTGGCAATGGAAACCAATGAAGAAACAACATCGCTGTTCACCAAGAATAATAAAATAGAAGATCTTATTGTTCAGAGAAAATAATAAGATACATTTGTTGAGGCCTTAAGATTCTGCAGCTTGGTCCCTTGATTAGAAAAATAAACCATTGTTTCTTCCATTGTGACTGTTAATTTTAAAGCAAAATATGTGTCCAATCATGTATGAGATAGAAAAATTTTTATTCTAAAAGTGAAATAAATGGAAATATCACTAAGCAGTTGTTTATGCTATATAGAACCATAGTTTTCTGACTGGACTGTGGATACGTTGAAATGTTTTTCAATCGGGATCATCCATCCTCCAAGCATTCCTGTTCATTCATTTCTGCCTCAAGTTGCTGGTAAATACATAAAACAGTTACTTGCTAATCATTTCAATTCGTGATCCTTTTCTTGCCTCCCTTCCTTTGCTAGGATGGGCATCATACAGTCTTATCCTAGCTACATTTTCATATATCTTCAGGAAACATTCTAAGACTAGCTTGAGTTTAGTGGAATCTGAACTGTTGTGTATCTTGTTCAAAAGCTGAGAGTCCAACATGAATGGTTCTGATTCTAACCAACAATATATACCTTATTGCAGGTCTTGATATGGGATCAGTAGATAAAAAAGTGAACCAGAGTTAAAGTAGTATCTTGAGATTTATCCTGAAACAGCCAGGTATTTTCAGGAAATTCTAGTTGATACATCTTACATTTACCAAACTCTTTGGTATATTTCTGTAAGAGAACTAATATCTTAATCAATTGGCTTATAAATGGATTTTGTTACCAATATAAACTTGTATTTAAGGGAACACTAATTGGCCTAAATGTTTAAATTTACCAAAGTGATTTATATGTTTTGTCATGTTTGTGGGAAGTAAAGTAATACTGTTTGTTCTGCTTTAAAGCAGAAATGCTGAAACAAGTATAATAACAAAATAATGTATTTCGGGGCTGGGGCTGGGGCTCAGTAGTACTGTGCTTGCCTAGCATGCATGAGGCACTAGGTTGGATCCTCAGCACCACTTAAAAATAAAATAAAGATATTGTACCCACCTATAACTAAAAAATAAATACTAAAAAAATATGTAATTCATTATAGTCAAAACATGAAAAACAGGCTGGCTTCATCTTAAAGCAAAGCAAACAACCAAAACTTCAGATATTTTACTCTTAAACTTCAGGCAATTCACTCACGTACTTTGTTATTTCTATGTAATCACATGGTTATTTACTGTGTATATTTCACAAAGATAGTTAAAAATGTGCTCACCTGGCAAATAAGGGGGATTTTTTGCAACAGCATCTCAAATACCTGAGGAGGGAGTGTATGTCTGAAAACCTTCAAAAGTTCCCGTGGTTGCCCACACAATAAAAGGGCATTGCTAAGATGTTCAACTCCCATTCTACAGTCCCCTGAAACACATTAAGTTTTCAGCAAACTATTAATGTACTTCAAAATACACATTCTACAAACTACTAACAAAAGCAATTTAGATTTAAAAACATCAATAATATTTAGACAAGTTCCATGAAGAATAGAGTTCAAGTGTGAGGAGAAATATTGAGTGTCACAATGTTAAAGCTGCAATAGGAATAATTTTGTGAGGCAAACTATAACAAGTGTCCTCTTTCTGTTGGAAGTGCATTCTTATATTGTATATGTAAGGGATGAATAATGAGTATTGTAGTGTTGTGATATTTTATTAATGAATTATCTGTGTGACAGGTGAAATATTAAAATATGAAATATAATGTTCCTGCTAAACCTGAAGTCTTAACCTCCAGAGATTCTGATTTAATTGTTTTAGGATTTGATGGAGATTTAAATTAAACTTTTTAAAAACAGATCCTATTATCAAAGACTTCAAGCAAGATTCAGCATAACATGAAGTAATATCTAGAGGGAAAAGAATAAGAGATTTATAAACTCTAATGTATAAGTAGTTGTTTTAAATGCATTAAGGAAGATTGGCTTATATGCGAAGATTGGAAAGTAACCGTAGTATTTCTGTGCAAGTCAGAACATGGAACAACTTGGTTTCACTCTCTTGTTCTACTTTTAGGAAATGCAAAGATAAGTGAACTGACTTAAGATTTCAAAATTATTTTTATGCCACAGTTAGGAATAGAAGCTAAATTTGACCTTTGAAGGCAGTACGCTGCCTGTCTTCAGGTATTATATAATCCTAAGGAATGAAATTTGACACACTTCATACAACTTGGAAACTTAAAAATACATTTCCCTACAGTTATAATAATACATTCCCACTAACTGAAACAAATTTTCCATTTATTGGTTGAAATAAATGATCATATAAAAACTACACAAAGCACATATTCATATAAAAATACATTCCCAAGAAGCTTAAACTGAAAGACCACAAGGACATGACCTGACGTAGATACCAGCAATATGTAGGTTGCAAGACAAGTTTTGTGCCTTTCCAGATAATTTTACATTTCCAACATTAGAAATTTCCATTAAGGCTTTTATTATTTATAACAATATAGCTTTATGGAGGTGATACATTAAATCAAATTCTTCGATTGTATTGAGTTTTTAACCAAAAAAGCTGGGTGTGGTAGTGTAGGGCTGTAATCCCAGCATCCTGGGAGACAGAGGCAGGAGAATATCAAGTCAGAGGCCAGCCTCAGCAACTTGGCAAGGCTCTGTCTCAAAAAATTCTAAAAAATGGGTGGAGGATGTCACTCAGTGGTAAAGCACCCCTGGGTTCAATCGCCAATACCACAAGAAAAAACATACAGTACCTGCTCTCAAGATTGAGGTGCTAATAGAATACAAAAACAATTTGGTCAATTAAGTCAACCAGCCAATAAATTAAATTACACCAGCTCCCCAGAAGTACCAATCAAAATTTCTGGCTCCATAGACAACCACAATTAAAATAGTTGTAGAACTGTAAAGCATCCTTAATCTGAAAATTCATAATGCTCCAAAATTGAAAACTTTTTTTTTTTAAATAGTACTGGGGACTGAACCCAGAGGTGCTTCACCACTGAATTACATCACCAGCCCTTTTTTTGCTTTTATTTTGAAGAGTTGCCACAGCTGATCTCAGACTTAAAGTCTTCCTGCCTCAGCTTCCCAGGTAGCATGCTCCACTTCACCCAGCCAAAATCAAGTTACTTTTGACCGCCAACATAAGGCCACAAATGGAAAATTCCACACCTAACTCTATGTAGCAGGTCACATTTCAAATGCTGGTGCACTAAAAATTTTGTATAAAATTACTTTTAGGGGCTGGGGATCTGGCTCAAGCGGTAGCACGCTCGCTTGGCATGTGTGCGACCCAGGTTCGATCCTCAGCACCACATACAAACAAAGATGTTGTGTCCGATGAAAACTAAAAAAAAATTAATATTAAAAAATTCTCTCTCTCTCTCTCTCTCTCTTTAAAAAAATAAATAAATAAAATTACTTTTAGGCTATACATAAGGTGTATATGGGATAAATGAATTCCATTTTTTTACTTAAGTCCGATCCCTAAGACATTTTGTTATGTATATGTATATATTCCACAGTTAGAACCTGGTCCCAAGAATTCTGGATAAGGGGTACTCAACCTGCATGTTCTATCTGACAGCAAAGTAATGAAAATTGGTGTTAGTGGCTGAGAGAATGGGAAAAGTTGAGAAAACTGCAAAAAACTGGGCGAAAATTTACTACTAGAACACTTATTCTATAGGGCTGGGTTGTGGCTCAGCAGTAGAGCACTCACCTAACATGTGGGGCCCTGGGTTTGATCCTCAGCACCACATAGAATGGATAAATTTTTAAAAAAAGGTATTGTGTCCAAATACAACTAAAAAGTAAATATTTTTTAAAAAAAGAATACTTGTTCTAACTTTGGGTTTATACTGTATTAACCTAGGGAAATTTAAAAAATGGTTATGCCAGAATCCCACCTCCAGAGACTGATTTAATCAGTTTGGGGTTTGAAGGTACTTAAACTAGCAGCCAAAATTGCAAACTAGGGCTGGGGATGTGGCTCAAGCGGTAGCGCACTCGCCTGACATGCATGCGGCCCGGGTTCGATCCTCAGCACCACATACCAACAAAGATGTTGTGTCCGCCGAGAACTAAACAATAAAACATTAAAAATTCTCTCTCTCTCTCTCTCCTCTCTCACTCTCTCTTTAAAAAAAAAAAATTTAAAAAAAAAAATTGCAAACTATATTATACAGAAGTATATGATATAATCTTAAAGAGTCAATCACTTTAGGGATCACAGAGAGGGACAAAATTGTAAAACCAACAATTGCAATTTTTGTTCTAATAACATCAATAACTTATCCACCTCTAAATCTAACTAAATTATTACATGGTAGCACTTGAACATAAAGAGGAATAAAATATGATCAAATAAGTAGTTGTGTGTTGCTTAATATGGAAGATACTTTTTTTTTTTCTCCCTGAGCTGCTGGGGATCAAATCCAAGGCCTCATGCATGCTAGGCAAGCATGTACCACTGAGCCACACCTCCAATCCTAAGGAGATACATTCTGAAAAATGTATCACCATTAGACTACTGCATCACTGTGTGAAATACAAAAATAATACAATTAGTAAAAAATACGGTGTAGTTAACATCAAGTTAGAAAATATAGCCTACTATATAGATATGACCTAGCTATGTAGTATACCAGCAGTTCATGGTTGACTTAAACATCGTTATGTGGACCATGAATTATGAATTTTTTTCTCTCGATATAATTCTAATTTTCTTTCCCCACATCTATCCTACTATAATAACAGTTAAAGCTGAAAGGTTTTATATATTTTAATTGCCCCTATATTCAGGAAGTATCCATATCTAGAGAGGAACTGAGATTTTATGAGCCCACACACACAATTTAAGAAAAGGTACACAAAGTTATAAATAAAAAAATTGTTAGTGGGTTTTGGGAAAGGGCTGTGTAAATGAAAGTCTTAAGCTTTATTACCTTGTGTAAAAGTCACTCCTGTCTATATTATTTAAGTCATACCTGTAATCCCAGTTACTTGGGAGGCTGAGGTAGCAAGACTATAATTTTAAAGCCATCCTGAACAATTTAGCAAGAGCCTGTCTCAAATTTAAAAGGGTGCCAGGTGAGGTAGTGCATGCCTGTAATCCCAGTGATGGAAGGCTGAGGCAGAAGGATTCCAAGTTCAAAACCAGCCTTGGCAACTTAGTGAGGTCCTACGCAACTTAGTGAGACCCTGTCTCAAAACATAAAAAAAAGGCTGGGGGATAGCACAGTGGCACAGCACCCCTTGGTTCAACCCCTGGTGCAAAGAAAAAAAAAGTCATTTTGAAAATTCATATATTGAGAATTGTACATAAAAATAAACGAGACATACATGGCTTTGTTTCCCTGCCTGTCTACTTCTCAGACTAGAACATAAACTTGAACACTAATTATTGTAGTGTGGTTGGGGGAGGGTGTTAGTGTAATGAAGTGAAAATGCTGGGCAATTTAACTGCAACAAGCTGATTAACACATCTAGCTAGCTATTTGACATACAAATCCTAATCAATAATATTTCCTGAACATAAATTATCATAAATAACTCACAAAGGAATGTTTATATTCTTACCTCTAGATAGCCAAAGTTCTCCCATCTGTATCTCTTGAAAAAAACGTTCTTGTAGTTTTTCATTTGGTGCTGGATCCCAAAACTGAAAGATTTTTAAAATGTTTAACAATGAGTAAAGATTGTAAAGTATATGGTTACTGATCAAAATTGATTTTTATTTTAAAAAACTTGAACCTAGTCTCTAAATCCAACGTATGAGAAATGCAGTTCTTCTTTATAGTATTCAAATCAATTTCCTAAAATGGAGTTGTAATTTCAAATGATAAAAATACACAGCAATGTATCAAAGTAGGTTGAGATGCTTGCAATAACTCTTATCCATATTTTATCTTAACTACTAAATACACAGCAGAAATACTACTACAATGAGTATAACAAAGGTAGCTTTGTATGTTGCAATATTATTTTCTTGCCTGGATCAACAATGACTATTGATTATATTGTAATTATTTTTCTGGCCTCTGGGGTCACTTTGGTCATTTGGTTGATGTATGTTCAGGTAGCAGTAACTCTCAAGTAAGGGAGGCAAGAAGCTATAGTAAGGATTCTGTACTCACAGGCTCACAAGGACATGGTGAGGGGTTGGCAGGCAGTTGGTGACTTTTAGAAGGATGCTTTGGTTTGCTGCAGCCTGGTTCATTAAGATAAGCATAGCCATAAGATGGCATCATCATTGGTACTGAGCCTAGGGCTGGTGCTTCAAGGCAAACCCTGGCCCAGAAATATCAGCTACACTACCAGTTACTTCACCTTTAGTCTTTTATATCCAGAGGATTTAGGTAATTGTTTTCCCCAAGAATAATCTTTTTTAAATGGGATGACCTTGGAGAGAGGTCACCTTTTAAGCTTTTATCAGCAAACATGCTAAGGATCAGTAACACCTATAGCACTGCAAAAATAAAAATAAAAGTCTAAAATACCTGGTTGCCCATAAGAATTCCTTGGGCCACCTCTGACATACTGAAACAGAATTGCTGGTGCTAGGATTAGAATATCTGCATATTTTAACAAATAATCCAGGTGAATCTAATAAGGATGGTCCATGGAACATACTTTTGGAAACAAAAGGTCCTGAGGTGAGAAAGAAAAAAAATTCTAGAAGAAATAGGAAAAGACATCTCTCTTCTGCCTGGGGGCTATTCATCAACAAAACAAGAAAAGTTTTTGCAAGGTTATATGAAAGAACATTTGAAAAAGTCTGCTTCTGCATCTTCTTCACTGAAATAATGCAGATCTTCATTATTTCCCCTCCTGATTGCCAATGACTGATTTTCCTGCCTTCAAATTCTCTCCTCCTCTCCAATCTCCACAATGGCACCAGACTAACCTTCTTTAAAAAAGTAAAACAAGCCAGGCATGGTGGCATACACCTGTAATTACAGTGATTTACATGTGAGACCCTGTCTCAAAAAACAAAAAAGGATGGGGGATGGCTCAGTGGTTCAGCACTCCTTGGTTCCAACGTATGAGAAATGCAGTTATTCTTTATATTATTCAAATTTTCTTTCTTTATATTATTCAAAAACTCATAGTGGCTTCCAGTTTGAGGCCAGCCTCAGCAATTTAGCAAGGACCTAAGCAACGTAGTGAGACCATCTCGAAAATAAAAAAATAAAAAGGACTGGGATGTAGCTCCAGAGGTGGAGAACTCCTAGGTTTGATCCCCAGTATGGGGGGAAAAAAAAGCAAAACAAGCTGGGTGCAGGGGCTACTCCCAGATACTCAGGAGGTTGAGGCAGGAGGATTTCAAGTTGAAGGCCAGCCTTGTCTCATTCCATCCCTTAGCAATTTAGCAAGACAGTCTCAAAATAAAAAATAAAAAGGGATAGGGGTATAACTTAGTGGTAAAGCACCCTTAGGACCAATCCCTCCCAAAATGATTTTTCATCTATTCTAATCATCATCATTGGTTATCCACTATAACAGAGAAAAGTCGAGACTTTACAGTTTGACATTCTAAGGCCTCCATTAGAAGATACCACTCAGCTATCTCTCCAGCCACAGCACATCTTGAAGACTGCAATTTCACAGTCTGAGCCTTGACAAGCTACTTCTTTCTGCCTATCATACATAATATTCAATAAATATATGCCAAACAGTGCTGTAGACACAGAGGGAATGGACAGTAAAAAAAAAAAAAAAAAGACAAGGTCTGCCCTCCTTGGTACAAAAAATGAAAACCATTAAATAATCACACACACAAAGGTTCAAGGTCAATCATGAATAAGGGCATCGGAGGAGAAGGACATGGAGCTATTCTAGACTCTGTCCCAAACAGGCTGGGAAAGGCATCTCTAATCCCACATCCAGTTCCTTAGACACTCCCAGCCAGTTTCCTTAACCAAGGCAACTGGGCCTTTATTTTGTAAATGACTCACTTCTAAATCTCAGACGTCTGTGACTCCTGCTTCCCCCAGATCCTTTTATCCGTCTGCATGAACTATTCTTCCCAGTCTTCACTGACATCACTATAACTTAGAATTTTTATTACTTCTCACTTATACTACTGAAATAGCCTGTTCTCTTTCAAACCATCTAGTACACTCCTGCCTGATCAATCCAAGTATTTTTTTTCTTTCCTCCTTAAAAAAAAAAAAAAAAAAATTCTGCTCAGAAACTGCTCAGTAACTCCCTCCACTGAGTCTTTCCTTAACCTTGCCTTCAAGCCAGCCTTGCCTCATTCTATCCCTACTCAGCTCATTCACCCCTGACCTCACCTCCCACTATTCCTCACTGTGGCTCCTTTGCCAAGCTGATTTACTGTATAGGTCTGGCAGATTCCCCACTTCGCATTATGCACCTTTAGCTCCCTCCATCCTGAATGTTAGCCTCCCTGAACCCATAACCCAAATTCCTCCAATGCCATCTCCCAAACTTAATTCCTAGTTCAGTTCAATGGCATTTTTTCTCCAAAGTCTTCTGCATAAAAACTGCATTTATTTAAAATAGCCATAGTAATAGTAAAGGTTCCACAAATGCTTTTGGAACCTTTCCTATCAAGAGGAATTTATTTCCTCTGCCTGGAATGAAGCAGGCCTCAATAATGCAAGAAATCCCCAATGTATGCCCCATATGCTCTAGCACTCTTCCCCTCACTCTCTATATGTCCTTGCTTGCCTCTGGGGATCCAGCCCAGCATACAATAAGGAAGCTCAGGCCACATGAAGAGGACATGTTCAGGTGCTCAGGCCAAGAGTCCCAGGTAAGGGAACAGCAGACATCAACTGCCAAATGTGAGGGAGTGAGTCTTCACAGGATCCTAGCCAAGTGCTCTGGAGTCACCTGGCTGAAGCTGAATGGGGCAGGAAAACACCCACCAGCCTTGCCTAAGTTAGAGATTCAGGTGCAAAGTAAGTGTTACTTTAAAGCCATAAACTTTAAAGAACAATAAGTAAACTGCACACCCTCCATGGTAATCCTACCCTAAAAATGATCTTTCCTCCTCTGAGCTCTTGGTGCATTTGTTGGCTCTCTCCATGGCCTTGCTTTGGGGGTTATTCTTATTCCCCTATTGCAGATCCCTGCCCCGCCTAGGAGAATGCCTCATACGTAAGAGATTCTCAAACAGGTGTTGACTGACTGAAAGAAAGAATGCGGGTGGAGGGCTGGGGTTGTGGCTCAGTGGTAGCGCGCCTGCCCAGCATGTGTGAGGCACTGGGTTCAATCTTCAGCACCATAAAATAAGTTAAGTAAAATAAAGGCATTGGGTCCAGTCTACAACTAAAAGTACTTCTTAAAAATGAAGGTGAGCTTAATTCCTTAAGTTGGACACAAGAAGCCTAAGAACGCTCAGTGTTACTTTTACAGCTGATGGGAGTTAACTGAAGCTGAGCCAATCACCGAGACGACTGCAATGGTTATCTTTTAAAGTGACAAATCAAATTCTCTCCTAGAGAGACGAAGATGCTTTCTGCAACCAGCTGGAAGACTGGCCCTTCGAGGCGGGCTCTGGAAGTTGGTATAACGAGGCCTGGGCACCTTTTCAGCGTCCCGTGCAGCTCTGGGCTCTGGGCTCTGGGCCGGCCACGGCGCCTTCTCCCTCTTAATTAAAAGAAGCGCGTGGCCCTACAGTGTCACAGCTGCCGTTTTGTAACCCCTCGGTGTCCTCCTTCCCTTCCTCCCCTCGGTTCTGTAAGAAATTAAAAACTAAACGTCCGGCCGCGGCACGGGTGGGTGGGGG